CCTTGTTCTCCTCGGGTGTACCGTTAACGAAATGCTGCTCGTCACGAGCTGGGAGGCCTCCACCACAACAAGCATGAGCGAATTCGAGCGTCTCCTTGACTGTCAATGAAGGGTAGTGCTTGTCGCGTTGGTTCACGTACGATACGAATTGAGGGAGACGGTTGCTCAACGAGTCGGACGACATGCCATTGTACGTGACCTCACCCTCCACGGTAACGTTCTTCTGGCTGGGAAAGCGTCCACTGAGCAGCTTCATGAGCGAAGACTTGCCGGATCCAGGTTGACCAAGTACAAGCGTAATGGTACCCGGCTTGAAAACACCGTTGATATCCTTCAGGACCTGCTTCTTGACGACGTGCTTGCTAGAGCGCATTTCGTTGTAGCTTGACTTGAGCACGTTGAGCAAGGTGGGGAGTTCTGTCTTGGCGTTGGTCTCATCTTTGACCATAATGTCGGCCGTGATGGAGACGTCCTTGAAACGCACCTCCATCTGCGGGAGTGCCCTACCCAGCGCTTTCTCCATACGAGAGGCGACGTGATCATGAAGCGCCTGTGGTCCTCTGGCCATGAGCGTTTTACCATTGTCGTATCCGATCACGGCGCGCATTGGCGCACCGGAATGTTCCTCTTCAGTCATAATTCGTGTCGGCCTGCTCTTTTGAATCTGAATGCCAGTTGAGTCCGATCGAAGTGGTTGCTGTTGTTGTTGCCGTTGTCGCTGTGAAGCGGCAAATGGAAAAGTGAGAGCAAATGGTGCGAGGATCCGAGACACGAGTTCTGTATCAAGGTTAAGGTATTAGTACCAATGATTCTGGTGTAGGCGGAACTAAACAGCATTTTGTCACGTGTCTCGCGAAACTCCAGCGGGATTACGAGGGTTGTGTGAGTTGTTGATGGCGCTTTGCTGATGTATATGGGGCTTCTCTTAAGTACGATTTGTTTTAAGCTTTTGGTAATGAAGGCTGGTGAGCCTGTTCAACTTCTGTAGTCTGCACACCACAGGGCAAAAACTGTAATCAATGTGGATCCAAACGAGTTGCTGATCATGTCAGCCGCTACTGGTACTCTACGTAGTATCGTAAAGGTGTGAGACCCATGTACAACAAGCGGCTCTTGAGGTGCGCGACTTGGATCCAACACTCGATGATTACGTGTCGATAAACGTGGATTGCGAGTTTGAAATCGTCGATTATCAGAAGGAAACGTGGTCTAGAAACCAACTAGTTTTTACTTGAAAAAATAACTCGAATTATGTACAGTATGCCTCATCTGAAAAATGAAAACGAACGAAAATGTGGAGTTGAGGCTGAACAACCCGTGGATATAAATAATTTAAATACGCAATATCCTTCGACATTTTTTTTATTAGTTGTTGGCAAGCGTGCTGCAAACGGTTAACAGGCGCTGCCGTTAAAAGCAGTAAGCATGTACACTAACCGTGCGCACCTGATAAATTCGTTTTTACTTATACGCAACGAATCAAAATTTCAGGATGTATTTCGTCTTAGCCTAGAAAAGATAAAGACAAGGCCACAGCGTGAACGCCCGCAGCCACCGGGGGGAACGACGCTGCAGCCGGCATCTCGTACTCGGTCGGCACTAGATGCAGATTTTTATCTACTTAAGTAAAGGGTTTTCTTAACGCGAAGAGCCCCTGAAAAAATATCCCTACATTTACGAAAGGTATTTTACATCGGCTGATTCCTTCCAGCCAAGAGCTCGATCAGTAAGAGTAGGAACAGCTTCCAAACTACACCAATATATGTGATAATGAGGTATAAGCAAGCATGAAGTGCTCCGTCAAACCCATAGAGCGATGACAAAGTGGTGTTTGTTTTCAGTCGATCTATTTACTGGTAATAGAACAGCTTCAGAACGACTATTTCATTTTACACAATTTACTCTACTGGAGTACATGAACTTTTTTTTTCAAAATCTAATAAAAATTCTTGTAATTTACGACGAAGGAGCACCAAAAACAGCAATCTAGACGTAGGCAATGAGCGCCTTCATAGTGCTTGTGAAGTCAAGGGTTTTTGAATGGAACTTGTCTATAACGATGGCGCTGACTCGTTCTACGAGCCAATTTCGTGAATGCATGTAAAGGTCCACTCTTAGGTACGTGATTAACGACAACGCCTGGTAAAGATGCGAGAACAAGAAACGTGTTTTACCAATTTCGTTACAAACACGTTGATACGAGAAAGGGCCCGGACACTGAGTAAGGCTGCTTTCAGCTTTGGGTGATTATACATTTTCAGTAAATACAGTTATGATGTTTTTATAGACACCTACTCTGGAAAGTGTCGAATCAACGATATCTCGAAGTGGAGCTGAAAGTTTCAGCAAAAACTCTCGTCATTCATCAAACAAGGCATAATTGTTCATTTCACTGCATAAATTCATGAGTTCCTTTTGTCTTCAAAATAAAATTGATGACCGTCATGGTACTAGCCCTTGTGTAGCCATACTAAATATTAATTGTACCACCGGCCCATCGATGTTTGTACTTCGTAATAGCACGAGAGAACCGCGAGTTCCCCGGACCTGCTGGTCTGATTCCCTAAGAAAAGGACACAATTTTCACAGGCGTAAAATTCTATGAAAATGCATGAATAACTTGGCTTTAACCATATCAAAACGGATAGGCTTTTTAAAATATGGGTATGCACATTGATAAAAGACTCCGGCATGACATATAGTACAATATATATAATGCCGTTGTCTTTACTACTTACTATGACTTTAAGATATAACAACCTGCTTAGTACTTTTGCAAGAAAATCTGGAAAAAGCTACTTTTAAGTTTAAAAAATACTAGTAACACTTTTCGCTATTCTACTGTTTTATACATGAACTTAAAAAGAAATGTTTCTTTGTCATCCCATAACCTAAGTGGAGATGACACATTCTCGTTTATTGTGTATTACCCTCTTAACAATTTGCCAACGAATTTCAAACAACCAGCTGCTTACAACTATGTCATGTTATCAACCAGTCGGGAAAGCAAAAGGCTACTGGTGCTGTTGCGCGCCGATAGACTGAATACTCACCCACACTCAGCAGGTAGTCGACATGCGAGCGTTTTCTACAGTAACTGGGAAGCACCATCGTGGTGACAAAGGACCGTATTACACTTATGAAATTCCGATTTGACTGAAAAGAGTGTGCAACTTTCTGCCAAGGTGTCAATACCTGTACAGACAACGACAGCATGGAACTGGATGATGAGCGATCGGTGTTGTAGGCGAACACGCTTTGTTAAGAGAAGCGTCAGGCCGATTCGCTTTGTTAGCTCCAAAAGGCAGAGTAGATGTTGGGTGATTGTGAGATGAAACCAGTTTTGAACTACTACATTCCCGATATGTAACATTGGCACAACCGATACGCTAGCTGGCACACGGCGCCTTAACCAAATGTTCGTAGTTCAGTCTTTTGCAATGCTAATCTTGTGGTCTTGTAGCAGCTCTCGTTCTCCGTGCTGTTTCTCGAATACCCCTACGGAATCGAGTACAAGATGCTGCGAATAGATTTGATCAAAACGTCGCCCCACCGAGTAGTCTCCCATAGCACATTCTGCCAGACAGCCTCGGATATCTCGAATTCTGGTCGGTAGATTTTCACAAAGGCAGCACGTCGCAGTGTTATAACCAATCCATTGTCACCGCTTGCTGGTTGAGAACCCGGTGTCTGTCTCTCTGGTTGGTGCATAGCTAGCACGAAAGCTGCAGAGACGTCTTTGCGAATGCGCTCACTCGGTGAGTATGGATATAACTGGTCTTCATCGACTGAATCAAGTACCACCAGACCACAGGGTTCCCCTCTACTTACACCCTCGGTGCCATTAAAAAGCTGCGACATCATGACACAGTTGAGCTCCGTACCGACACCGTCATCGTTCCTCGATACAATTCGAGCATTAAAAATGTTGCCACCGATCCCTTCGTAGTCGTCACGGACCGTCACATGACCCAAGCGCTCGGAAATACTGATCTCCGCATTGTGAACACTGAACAACAAGGCATCATACACTTGCTGCAAGGACTTGACGTCTGGAAAATGGACCGTTTGGAAGATGTCGCAGCAAACATCGCCCTTTGCTGTCTCAAAGCGCTCATCGGAGAGTTGCGGCTGAGCCTTCGGACTGCGGACGTTGACGTACTCATACGCCGCTTTAAACTTCGTGTCTTGAAGAGCGGCGAGCGTCGCACTTCGGTCCTCCCAGTTCTTTTTCAGGCAGATGCGTGAATACAGAGGATGCGTTTGCTGCTCAGCAGTCAAGACCGTCAATGTCGTCGCCATATTATTAAAACCGCTACGTGACGTACCAGAAGGTGGGGCATGGCGGATTGTATACTAGCGACACCAAGCTGCTGCTGGCGGATAATTGTTTGGATGAAAGTGTTTTCCGCAGTAGTTTGCGGGAGGGGGTTCAGTTGTGCCAATTCGCTTCGTAGTCTGCGGATTTCCTCCTTCAGGTCTTCCTTCTCTTGCTGCGCACACAGATAATGCGATGCGTCAGCATTCGGTCAGGCTGTCCAGGTAGACAACAAGTCACATACCTTGCGCATGAAGTATGCGGACTTGAATCTCTTGCCGTCCATTGGAATTCTTTGTGCTGCACAGGTCGTGTCGCTAAATGCGAACCTAGACACGGCGGCTACGATGATAGTCCAGCTGAATACATGCATCCCGTCATTCCTATGATGATAAGAACACGCAAGGCATCGGACTTTTGCTAATTATACGTGATTTCACAGATCAGCACCTTTTCTGTCGTTTATCGGATAATCACAGCTGGTTGGTCAGAGAGTTTACGCCTTGAAAGTCGCTGTGATTCACAGTGAGTTATACATATGAAGAGAATAATTTCAATACAGCCTATGATCACAAAGCCGTGTTTTACACGGAGAAGCTCAGAATTTGTATACTTACTTTTAAAAGCAAAAAGCCTGTGGTAAATTGTAGTCACTTCGATACAAACGACTTCTAATCTCCACCCAAACCAGCCGCTCATCTACGTCGTCGGCGGTCAACAACAGCCGTGCTGCTCATGTGATATTGCAGTTGTGGCGGAGTACCAACCCGCTCAAGTACCTACTCTTCGTGGTAGTTCTTGTCCAACCAATGCCTAATGTCGCCCCCCAACGTGTTCCCTCAAGACTTATCACCAATATCCTTTTTGTGGTCGCAGTGCGACTCGCACAATTGTGGTAGCGTATTTACTGTTAGAACAAAGCGTCCAACAGTATACTGGAATGCATGAATCGCAGCGTAATGTAAGGCCGTTCAATAGGACGGCAGATGCTCTCGCCAATTGGCGATGGATGCAAGATGCAGCAGGCAAACTGAACTATACGATGCCACCATACCTGAGGGCCTCCGGATAGGCAACTGATGCGCCTACTCCGCTGCTGCATCATTTACGCTAGCTGAAGTATGTTCGGGCAACATTTACGCGGATTATCATTACTTCGGGTAGTCGTAATTTACCGTGATGTTACGCTTGGCCGCCACAAGCAACATTCACCTGAATAACATCACTTGTACAAAGGACACCAGATATACATCACCAAACTACTTGATTAACAGTAAAGTAAAGGTGCCGTATCTGATACAAGCTGAAATGGCACTTATGCAGGAGAAAACCCACTATATAGGGTACGACAATCCAATATAGATGTTATATAGTAGGTGTATCAAGTACTGCAGTTTTAAGTTGACAACGTTAGCTTTTATAAGAAGTTAGAGTAGTTGTGGGTCAGAATGACTCGTCCCCTAAGCACTGGATATGAAAATTCAGAGATAATAAAATATATAGTAAATACACTTAGTGCATAAAGCAGGTCACGGATGTTATTGTAACGAGTTCAGTAGCGCCTACTGTAGGATACCACTGAAACAACGATGTTGGATTATGTTGGCCGATGTCTTAGCAGTGGTACGAAACGTCCGAGATTACCACAAAGCCGTGCTCCCGGAACAGCTCTGAGTTTTAATTTTAAATGGTTTACGTCATTCAACTTTGATGGGTCGGTATCAGTAGGGTATGTGATGTATGAAAATTTGTCAGCAACACCGACAAAATCACAATAAACCAAGTAGGATTTCCGGTGCTATTCGTTCTTACTGAATGAAGATTAGTCCAAATAATCGACAAAGGTAGATTCTTTTTAAGGAGTTTACTTGCATATAATTAAAGAGTACAAACAAAATCGCAAAGGTTTAGTTGGTGTGCTGAGTTTTTAGGAGTACACTACCCGTTTATTCTTACTGTAAGTAGTCCTTGTCAATACTCGACAGGAACCATTTACAAGTTGTTGCTAGAACTGCAGCAATACCAAAAGTAAACTAGAATGAAAATCCAGAGCTTCCCCGTGTAAGGTCGTTCTTGGTGGTTCCCGTAGAACAAGGCTACGATAAGCTGACGGCTATCGGCCTTATTCAACCTTGCTCAACAAGGTCGATATCCGTCAGGTTATCGTAGGCTTGTTCTACGGGAACCACCAAGAATGATCACTGCTTTACTTAAAAACTAATGCCATGTTAAACGAAACTATGCAAATGTTCCCCCGATAGATACTAGTACAGTGTCTATCGGGGGAATACCAACAACTCGTTGGTATTAGTAATAATACTAGTACAGTACTAAAACCATGTAGATGCTCCCCTGATAGATGATACTTCATCTATCAGGGGAGCATCTACATGGTTTTGGTGGCTGCCCGTGTCCCATGTACTGTAAGGAGACAACGGGCTGATCAGAAGGAAGATGTACTGGTGCTGCATCAGTGCTTTTTCCCGTGGCACCAGTGGTTTTCGTATTTGCTTCTTTGACTCATCAATTGATGAGTCACACAATCCTCTAGAAAGCAATGAGCATTCATGAGAGAAGTTCAGTATTATTTGCGCCATTACGGTATTTCCGTAGCAAAGACAACCAGCAACAACGCCCACAGCTTTACTCGCCATGCACTTAGCCAAAGTCTGCGGTATGATACTTATTCTGGCCGTCTTAACTGACGCCTTCGCGACTACCAATACAGACAAGAATGTAGTGACGACGACCAATAGCCAACTGAACGAGGAGAGATATGGTAGATCGGGTGGAGCGCCAAGAGATAATGGTGTTGATCGGAGCTACACGCAGGGTTGGACAAATTTTAAAGCTTTTCTCAAGAAAATATTCTTCTTCTGGGGGAAGAATGAAAAGACACGCCTCCTTCGCTTCTGAGCGCAACACAAGAGCCTTTTGTGACGCATCGTGCAGATACACCAAGCCCATTGTGAAGAATTATGCGTCCGTCACGTCTTGCGCAACTTCCCTTCTTCGGGCCATACCTACTTTGGGCGCTCGAGATTACCGCACTTTACGAACGTACAGTACTGGTACTACCCGTAGCAAAACTACTGTAGTACAGGAACACCAAGAATGCCTATTTTGTTTTAGAAATTCAAAGCATCTCGAGCGTTTCAATTATTATATCACTAATGCATGGCATTTACTTCTTTTGGTGGTTGACGAAGCGCAGTGCAAGTAGCGCGAGGAAGCGATACACCACAATGAATCCCAAGACGAAGCCGAAGTTCTTGTAGATCTCGCTGTGCTTCATTGCGAAGACGTCCCCTAGGTAGTCCTTGACAGTCATATCCTCAGGAAGTGAAGGTGGCAGCCCAGTCATAACCTGGCATCCAATTTCCGAGCCGTCTCCATCGCTTGGACAGTCACCAAAGACCAGGGATGCAACCAAAGCCAGCGAGTATTTATGCGGTGTAATGTGATACAACCACTTGTAACCTTGAGGGATCGACGCTCCCGGAGGGTTGAAGCCGTTGAAGAGGAAGAAGATCATTTGGAGTAGCACCCCGAAGATCGTAGCTACTTCGACTGTCGGCATGAGGTACGACATGAGCTGGCCAAAATACGCTTGCCACAACACGTGCATGGAAAGATGAAGCCAATAAGCGAAGAATGTGGCCCCTCCTGTGAACCCGACCATCGGGAAATATGGTGCCATGAGCAGCATCGTGCTGAAGAAGACATACGGGATCTCGACGACTGTTGATCCCACGAAGTACCAGAGCGCGTTATACGTTTGTGCAGCTCGCTCGCGGTAGAATACCAAACGGTCCTGGGATGCCATTGGCATGACGCTGCTGAATGAGATGAAGCCGAGGAATCCAGTCGTGCAGAAGAGCATACCCATGCCTGAGTTGATACCGGCGTACGACGTGTACTCGGCACTGACATACGTGATGCCGAACACAAGTCCAAGAATCAATGCCAGGAAGAAGCGAGTCAAGTTGTACGAAGCTGTGCGCCAGTACATCCTGAAGAAGCGCTGGATCAGGAATCTGGCCTGAGTTAACTCCGTTGCAGCGCGCTTGTCGCTGTACTCCAGAGGAGGCATCAACGGCGACGGATGAGATACGCCTTCACGATCCAGGTTTGCCTGGAGAAGCTCAAAGTGCTTGCTCGACTGGAAGATCTTCACAAAGTCGGTCCTGTCGCCGTTGCTGTTGCCCACACCCGCACCGATAACCTCCAGCATCCACGTTGCTGGGTTGTAGTTGTCCTCCAGCTTTGCCACACCGTTAATCGATTCAAAGTAAGCAATCATCTCGCTGGCGTTCTTACCAAGTTCTCCAGCGAACACCGTCTCACCACCACGCTTCAGTAGCAACAGACTGTCAAAAACACTGAACACTTCTGTCGATGGCTGGTGAATCGTGCACACCACCGTACGACCAGTGTTCGCCACCTTGCGCACACCGTCCATGATAAGCTTGGCAGAGCGAGCGTCAAGTCCACTCGTCGGTTCGTCCAAGAACAACACACTCGGTTGAGCTGCCAGCTCCACGCCAATTGTCAATCGCTTCATCTGCTCCACGGAGCTGCCACGGATGATCTGGTCGGCGATCGGGTGCAAGTCTAACAACTCCAAACACTCGTTCACCGAGTCATACTTGAAGCTATCGGGAACATCGGCTCCCTGACGCAGGAACGCGCTGAACGTGAGTGCCTCACGGATGGTAGCCGACTCGGAGTGAATGTCCATCTGCTCACAGTAACCCGTGGATCGACGGATAGAGAGGTCGGTGGCCGGGTGGCCATTCAGCAGGATCTGGCCGGTGATCTTGCCTCCAGTCTTTCGTCCAGCGATAACGTCCATGAG